GATTTGTCATTTGTTTCTTGCCTTTCTATAGCTGCTTTTATCTCGTCTATGGAAATATGGTTGTTCAGCGGATCATCTTCACTGTAACTACTTGCAGATTTGCTGCTAACATTCTGTAATTTACTGAACTCGTTATTTACATGCATGTCGTGCTCTCGGTCATTGGGTTGGTTTTGAAGGTGTTTTCCTGTGAAGAAAGTATTAAATAACAATTCCTCCTTATCTTTTTCAGATGTGACCAGCAAGTCACAGTCTTTGAGGTTGCAGATAAAATTGTCAGTTTTGGCCCCAAAAACTCGTTTATATTTTCTCCAGAATTGAGTGCAGTCTTTGGTGTTAAGTGTTTCAACTCTGTCACGAATCCATTCATTCTTTTCTTTAATCAGCGCTTTCTTGAATGATTCAGTGCTTTCAGTGAGTGTGGCCTTGTTTCTGGGAGTTGATCTTTGCTTAAATCTTTCTTTCGCTTCTAGAGCTTCATTAGATAGAGTTGTAAGTGCAGGACACCAATATGGTTTTGAATGAATGGATACTGTCTTCTGAGGGATGAACATTCGGTTAGCCTCCTGTATTTTATGTAATAACTGCTGCCATAGCTGATCCCCTCGGTTTAATAACTCTGGGGCCGAACGAAGATGTTGACAGTTGGTCTCCATTGCATTTGTCCATATTTTCCAGTCTGCATTTTTCCAGTCCATACACACTCTGGGGACAGTGTCTGATTTTGGGATCCCTCTGCAGATTTCTTGAAGCACCGGATAGTGACCTCTTCTTGGGGCACCTGAAAATAATTCAACATCTTTATCCATCCACTGATTTCCCAACTTTGAGATGATGGGGCCTTCGGCTAACACTAAGTCAATAACACTTCCTCCATTTGTACAGACAAATGTGCAGTCGTATGGTGAGCAGAGAGTTAGGGTTTCCTTTTCAACGTAGTCTAGAAGCTTCTTTCCTCGCTGCGTGGTAACATGATCTCCCCAGTCATGATGTCTTGCATTAAAGTCTCCATATGTGAGAAGAGAGTTGAATTTATATTTAGCCTTATATTCTCTTGCTTTATCAATGTGGGCAAGAAGTCCTTCAAATTTTCTTATGGAATCATTAGAGTTATTGCAAGGTTTGCAATAAACTGATCCCACCAAATATCTCTTTCCTTCAACTTTTATTTGGCACCAAACCGCATCAACTTCGTCTACGTTAAGGTCATAGACCAACTCTGGATGTAGTGAAGGATCAATGACGAGTGCTACCCCAGCTGTCCCTTTATTTATGTCCCCAGCTTTATGAAATACCTTTTTATGAAGGAAACTTCCGTCTGATTGAGTCCAAGAGCTTGTTTCTTGAACCGCCATCAAGAGTATCTCATTTTCGTAGATAAACTTGTCAAGTGTCATCTCAGAGTTAGTTGACATCTTTGCTATATTTATTTGGCCAAAGATCATAATCTACTGTTGGGTTGTGTGGGTGATTTTGAACATTTGTTTGGTTGCATGTTGAGTTTCATGACAATATTTTGGTATGTTGGACAATCTCTGTTTGTAGCTACATGGCCAAAGACATCACAATTAATACAGTAGTCTCTTCGGTTACTCTTGCATTGATATGAGTGGTGATTGTCTCCACATTTGCTACATGTTGCATGGTTTTGGGTACAAAGTTTAGCAACATGGCCAAACCTGTAACAATTGTAGCATTGGATGATTCTCCTTCTCGGCTTATACTCTTCCGCAGTATAAATTACCTGTCCGAGCTTTAACCCATTTCCTAAGCATTTCTCATAGTCTTCCTTAGTCTGAAAGTTGATCTTAAGAGTTTTCAGAGAAATGTTGTCCCGTGTCACAAATCTTTTTGCCCTAGCTCCTGGATAACACCTTTCCACAGAAATTGTTAGATCACTATCCTGAATGTTTGTGGGTACTCCTTTGAGAATGACTGCCCAGCTTAGCTTTTCTAAGATCCTGCATTCTGTAGTCATGTTACTGTTTGCAAAGAAATCACCTTTCCATGATCCTTCTACTCTTATTGCATCCTCTTTAGATGTGAGCTCAATCATCAATGATCCACCTTTGGTGACAAATGTCGATTTTATGGCCATATCTTTAAAATATTTATTGAAGTTTTTCTTAATAGTTGCACTGTTTTTAAGATAATTTCTTGAGAGTCCTCTTGAGACTAGGACTGTCGTGGAGTCATTAACAGTGGTTTCTGATGGCTGGTGAATGTAGTATTGTTTGCCCTCATGTGTTTTATCTTCTGCTATGGTACTGAAAAGATCCAGGTTTGTGTGTCTTGTAGAAACACCTTGATGTCCAATTACAGTTCTCTTGAAGTCTACTCTGTTCATCTCTTTTAGGATGCTTTTATTTTCCTCCGTTATGTTATGCAGTGTGCGAAGTGCTTCATCCATGCCACTGTCAGCTTGTGGGTTTGAGGATACTTTGTTAATCAAGGGAACCCCCTTAGCTAATAAATTTCCCATATTCTCCGTTAAATTCCTCTTTAGATATTCAAAGTGTTTTGTTTCACTCTCTCGTAAGTCTTTCATTTCAGCCTTCATTTGTGACATATATCTTTCGATAGAGCAGATTGCGGAGTGCTGTGATGCTAATACATCAACTTGGTCACTCAGAGTTCTGTTGATGTGGACATTTTGTTCTGAACTACTGATATTTGAGTACGATGTCAATGGGTCAACCATCTCTTTACTACAAACTAGCCTATCTTGTGAGTCTACCTGAATATTTTTCTTCTTTCCCCCATCTCTTCTTTCAGGTGTTGAGGTTCGGATTGGACAACAAATTTTTTGCTGAACTGGAGGATTGAGGTCTGGTGTTTTGATTATAGACTCTTCTAGATGTGTGTTGGACTCAATGGGTCTCAAGGACAGACTGCTGCTGAAATCTCTGTCAGATTTGCTGCACAAGATAGAGAGGTTATCATATGTATCTGAAGCTGACAGATCTGAGATGTGTTCAGTTGGGGCCGAGTCATTTATGGAGGCACTATCATACAGCTGTTTATAGGGGTCAATTGTTGTTTGCGTGTCCACATCTTTTCTCACAACAGTTGTGTACTCCCCATCTTTTTTAGTCAACTCTGCGATTTTAGCTTTAACTTTTACGGAGGCTAGATCCAGAATGTGGTTTAGTAGGCTTGGAGAGTCACATGAATTGCAAAGCCAATGCAAATTCTCAATTTTGCATATATTTTTATATGTGGAGTCTGCCATTGGCTTCTTTCTAGTTTCACCAGATCTTTTTGTTGTTGATGTTGTTGTTTGTGAATCATAACATTTGTAGTGTACTTTCAGTTCACAGTATCCGCATGTGAGCAACTCCTGTTTGCATTCCTTCTGGCAATGGCAGCATAGAATTCCAGAGTCCTCTTGGATGACATGCAAGTCTTTCTTTAATATGGACGGAACAAGTGAAAAATCTGATTCAAGATCGATCTCAAATGTGCTCGGTGTCCTCACAGCTACAGATGTAAGACTTGTCGTAATGAGTTGCTGATTTCCCACTTTGATATTGGGTCCTGATTTTTGATTTGCAGAGTTATGTAAGGAGATTTTTGGATGTGGCTTTAAAAGGGTATGAGGTGGTGATTGCATCTTTGTGAAAAGAGTCTTGACTTGAGAGACATACTCTTTGTTCTCAGCAGACTTGACACAGGACCAGGAACAATCCAAGGGAGTTTTCATAGAAAATGCAAAGAGTGCATAATCGAAGTTACTAGGAACTCCAAACTGCTGTTTGAACTCTATACCCGACTTGAGTTTAGTTGCCAGCCAGGTGTAGGGGTAAGAAAGTGCTCTTACTTTTGCATCAACAATGTTTTCAAGTCGTTCTTGGGTAACTGCAATCATCTGTGGGAGTGTTAAGGCCCACCATGGGACATCTGCTACATCGTGTAGTTTTTCTCCTATGTGCATCTGGTATAGCACTTTCTTTTTGTCTTCGAAGCTTAATGTTTTGCCAGAGTATGCAAGAACAATATCTTTAGGCAGGGCAATTTGGTGAGCAGTATCCGAAAGTTCAACAAAGGAGCAGAGAAAGTGCGACTGCCCGTCAAAGCAAAAAAGAACTTCTGAACTTGGACTCAATAGTTGGAGCTGTGTGTATATGTGACTTGTTTTTATACAGTTTGTGAGCATCTTTCTATTTGAGGCTGACACAACAATTGAATCAGAAGTCTCTAATAGGCTACAATACAAACTTTCGAGTTGGTTGTTTTTTGCAGTGTCAACTGTTGCAATTGACACAACCTTTGGTTTGTTAGGTTTCAGTTTAATAGACATAGTTGTGTGCCGTCACTAGAAACCAAACCAAGTAGAATTGTTACAGCCCAGAGCTTTTGTAAAACTAGCTTTAATTGTCACAATTCTATGATATCTGACTTGATAAATGTCTAGTCAGAGTAATGGGGTGTTAAGCTTTATTGAACTGGCTTAACTTTCCAGAAAGAGCTTTAAAAACGAGCTCTTGAAACAGGCAACACTTGGCTAAACTTTATTATAACTAGTTTTGTCAAGTGATTGTCCTTGTTAATGTCCAAGAATATCAATGTTTATACACTGTCCGTCGCGTTGTCAAACTGAATTCCAAATGTTTCCGAATTGATTAACAGTTTACAGTACCAAGTAGTAGGGAGTAGCTATTTTGTTCTCTTTGGACGTAGTCTGATTGTCTTTGCAGCCTTTGCTTTGCGCTCCGTTTAGAGATCGATTTCCCAACACCTGAAAGGATATGGGCACCAGAAAAGTGTGATAGGGATTGCCAGCAGTGCTGACAAAAGAGCTTTTCTGAGTTTAGATGAATGACAATGAATATGATCTCAGCTGTGAAACTCACCGTTTAGGTATGAGTTGGAATGGTTGCTGAGATGATTGAGTGAGGAACAAGAAAACTATTGTGTATTCTGCCAAACTTTAGTCATGCAACATACAACAATCTGCAATTGTTGTTACATTCTATTGAGGTGTGATGTCCCACTAGGGGTCCTCAATAAATGTAATAGATTTGTAGTGTTGTAATTAGTTTAAAAAAATAGCATACAGTGCATACATGTATGGGCTTAGTAAAAGATGGAACTATGTGTGCAGAACTACCCCAGGAGTTGCAGATAGGCTCACTCCTCTGGAACAAGTAACACGTGATGAGTTTATCCCAGCTATCATCAACAGGCTGTTTAGCTGCACTGATGAACTAAGGAACATAATGGCTCTACCACCAAGATATGGAGGATTGGGTATACCAGTTATGATGGACATGGCAGACCGAGAGTACAAATTCTCATGTAGAGCCACAAAACCCCTTAAAGAAGCTATTCTCAAGCAGGTAGACAACCACACAGAGGACTGGAGAGTAAGCAAAGGAGTGAAAACTGAGATAACAACTGAACGAAATCTCTTCTATCGACAAAAACAAGCGGAAATACGCCAGGAGCTCGAGTCAACACCACTGGCAAAGTTGATGTTCCAACTAGCTGCTGAGAAAGGGGCAAGTGCTTGGTTAACAGCACTACCTTTAAAAGAGTATGGATATCTGATGAACAAACAACAGTTCTCAGACGCAATAGCACTCAGATATAACCTAAACTTAAAGGACAGCCCTAAGACATGTACGTGTGGCCAAAAGTACTCAGCAAACCATGCGCTCATCTGCAAACTCGGTGGATATGTGTCACTGCGGCACAACTCGCTGAGAGACACCTTTGCTGAACTAATGAGAACTGTGAAATGCAAGGATGTGCAGACTGAGCCAGTTCTTCTTCCAGTTGATGGTCTGAAGTTGCCTAAGGGAACAGTACTTGGAGACCAAGCTAGGCTGGACATTTCTGCAAGATCGATTTGGAATGCTTCAGAGAGGGCATATTATTATACATTGTAGTATTGTGCCATCTTGACCATGTGATGTTTGATTCTTAGGAGAGAGATTTCAATTTCGCTTCTAATTTGATAGATTGAGCATGTTAAAATGCATCCAGGGGGCGGCATAAAGTTGCAGGGGGCAGCAATAAAAGCCTGGCCGTTTTAGGGGGAGGGGAGGGATAACAGATAGTACCGTTACTCCACTGGATATGCCATATTTACTTTATGTTGTGTTGAGTTTGCGCTAATCATAGCTCTCTTGAGCTTGCAGTAGCGTGAGCCCCATATGGGAGCAAAGGAAATAAGCGCGTAATGACATCTGTGCAGGCACATGGGCAGGTGAAGTGTTGAGTGTTGAGTGTTTCTCTTTTGAGCTGATTATATGCTTTTGAATCCATGATCCACTGTACAGGTGTGACATTTGTTGGCACCTGCATCTGATGACTATTGGCACCTACATAGACTGTTTGATTACTTGATAGCCAAGGTGAATTAATAAATATGTAGCATCCACAGTAATGATGATACAATTTATATTTGTCAATATGGTGTTTTTGTTATAGACTAAACTTTTAGTTTTCCTGAGTGGCCCAATACTATATACTATACTATATACTCAGTAACTGAGTAAGGAGAGTAGTTATTGGCGACATCACCTTCCAGTGCTGGGAATGCTCACAAGCATACTCAATAAATGCAAATATGTGTATCAGTGAAATAAGTTTGTTTCACCATATTTAATATATTGTTGAGTCAAAATGAATACTTTTTTACCTATTTAGCATGATGCAGGATGCTGTTTCGTATCAAGGAAAACGAGATTCTTATTCTGATAGAACAATTCATGAAATCACAACAGCTGCTGGGATCACTAAGATCGCTTGAAAAGGAAAGCAAAGTAGTGCTAGGGAACCTAAATGAGGTGTGTCTATTCGTTACAAAAAGTACTCATACAACACCACCAATATTGCAGTTACTGCTGCCTTACTTATTGCTTGGTATAAACTTCAAATCGAAATGTTTCATACATCACGTGGAAACAAGCTGCTTTGCTTACAGACAATCCAATATTGACATGAAAAATTTTCATTTCAATGAATATGCTGCATATTTGCCCAGCTTTGCTAATAGATACAAACAAATCAATGAATCACAGCTGATAGTAAGTCGGTCGCTTTTTCAGGATGCTCAGTTTCTTCGAGACTTGATCATGGATGGGGAGTGGACTGATGTGCTGGAATATTTGAACCCTTTGAGGGACAACCCTGCTTACAAGAAAGTTCGCCTCATGATTGAGAAACAAAGGTAAACAGTTTCTTTTTAAGGAATTTATTCCACGTTGTACTATATTAATATTTTAACAAATCTCTCAATAAAGTGTATACATCAGACATATAATATCTTTAAATTCAACCCTTGTTCTCCTTTAATCCTCTCTATAAAATCTAAGTCACCCTATCTCAGGTATCTAGAACTACTAGCAACAGAACGAGGAAGTTACGACGCAGCTCAAGTCATGAAGAGTCTATCTGTGCTAGAGGAGATGTGTCCAACACGTCACGAATACACAGCACTTTGTTACCTCCTAACTAGACCTCACCTGAAACAACATCCCACTTACAGTTCCTGGACTCACTACCAGAGTAGGCTGGAGTGTTTTGAGGCTATAAATAGCTCGCTACTTGTCAAACAAGGCCAGAGTGTTAGGTGAGTAGGTGTTCGAGGTCTCTTTTAAACTGTAGTCAGGTTTACTGAAAATTACAAGGTTTAATGAACAACATAATGCTGGTAATTCTAATTTTTGCCATTCTTTAAAATAAAAACCAACAAATACCGGAACATACCTCATATTGTTACCATGCCATATTCCCGCCAAATCACTTTACCAAGACTAAATAGCCTGTTCTTCGTCAGTAAGTGACGGTTTAAGTAACTTATTATACACGAAATGTTATGGGAATGGGTTAATTAAGCTACATTAGTCCACCAATCACTCCGCCAGGAAAGCAAATTCCATACTTTAAATGGGCTGACTAGTAACAGACAGCTGGCGCTCACTCGCTCTGCCATGTCGTGTAATTACTAATTACTGATTACTTAGACATTCATTTACTGTACCGGTCTTAAACAGCGCGTGTGGCTAATCAAGTAATCATGAGCCTGCTTAAATATAACATTGTTCTGGTAGATATACTCGAGATTGGTGGATAAACCTTTTTTGTAGGTGACAACTGGGATAATTATCTGCTAAGTTGAGAAATTAACGGGCTATATTCAATGATATGTGGGGATGAGGTTTGTGTTGCCATGGTTACAAACAATGTTAACAGAAATACTATCTCGTTGTATGCTGGGTGCTAGGTAGCAACATCAGACACCCGATGTGGAAGTATTAGATTTGTTCTCCACTTTTCACCTTAACAAGACTCTAAAGAATACCTCCGAGTTACTGTATGTGGTTCATTCCGCTAGATTTTAATATTGGAAAGCAACCAGACTTGATATATGTGATGTGATCATGTGATCAAGGACGATTAATATCTTCACTCTGGTGTTAATCCTGCTCCTAATTTCATACTTGTGGCAAGGTTATCTTTCTACCGAGATTGGATACATACGTTATCACGCGGTTACTATGGCGATATAAGATACAATGAATTACCTCATTCCGTAGAATATAATATGACATAACGTTATAACATACTTCCAATATAATACATAATGGATCAAGTTATCATCTCACAGCAGTGGACACGGACACACTCATGCTTCCAATGTAACCATCACACATGAACATGGCACAATTCTACTATTATATATTATACACTCTACCACATTTTAAACTTGTTTTAAGCGCAGCTGCTATTCTCTTTGCATACAGTAGGGCGAAAATATCTCATAAACCAGAGTATTGCCTCTGAAACCAGTGCTTTAAATATCATTAGATATAATTTATAATTAAATAAATGAAAATCTCTCAGTGAGGATATGAGCCCTACCTCTGGTAGACTAGTAGATCTGTTAACCAAGGGGATGTTCTACGAGTCAGCACTACAGCTGTGTTCTCAAAAGTTGGCGCCAGGAGGGTGTGTTAACATCACTGACGCTCTAACCAACAATTTACTTCAGGTAACTTTAACTGAAGATTTATTAACTTGAATCGAGATTTAATAACTTTATAACTTTATAACTTTTTTTAACCTACAAATTATTGCTCATGATTTTAAGCTTTTTCAAATGTTAAAACTGTTATTTTTTGTAAATTATTAGTTTAAATATCATTGCAGTGCAGCATAGCCGACAAGGAGGCCATATTGTTACACTGGCTGTATGAGATACCAACCTCCGCTTTAGTTAAACCCACAAACAAGAAAATAGTTCAGGTGAGATCATAATTTTATCATTCAGTTTAGAGTTTAGACACTCATTAAAAGTGTACATTTTAAGATTTAAGAATTGATCTTTAGAATGCAATCATACAATACTTGACATTACTCGTACGATCTCATTATATAAAGTAATGAGTATTGTTGAAAAGTAAAATGAATTACTTTAATTGTGATATTTTCTGAGAAATATTTGACAGGAGTCAGGATCATGTGAGGCACGCGAATATATTAAGACACTTACTTCCTTCAACACCTAAGTCTATTATACTAGCATGTGTTTTAAAGTGAACTTCGTTTAGTGCCAGATACTTCCTGTCACGGTCACAGTGCCGTCATTTTCAGTTTTATACACTTACAAGTGTTCATCAATAGTCTAGCATTTGAGAGACTGCCTTACTGCCTCAGTTGGCTGCGACACAAAAATAATGAGATATTAAAAAAGTAACTAAAATGTAACGTACAAGGTTTTGGATGCTGACATTTTAAAATGATGATATAACCTTCTCAGCTTATGAAGGAATTGGAAGTCTTCGCCAAATGTGACCTGTAAATAAAACTTCACAAAATATGACCAGTAAATAAAACTTTCTCTCAAGTGTTGACTTGGTTCACTATACAAAATCACATTTTAGATAAATTACAATACTAACTAATACAAAACATAATACTAACAGTGTTAAAAACCAGGTGGAGCTAGAAACAGGACGCCCCCCACCCAGCTCACGTGAACCCACCCTGATCCAATCAACAGAGTTCCACAAGTCACGTGGTCTGACTAAGTCACGTGGTCCAGCATCACCTGATCTGTTCAGGAGTATTGACAGGAGCTGCTACCCTCTCAAATCTAGCTCCCTGCCCACTTCATTACTTCCCACCACTACTGAGAACAGGTAGGTCCTGTATTTTAGAGATAACGGTTAAAATGATTACAATTTAGTCACTCTATAATGTGATACTCTTCAGCTCTTGACAATAGTTTAAATGACCACTACTAATGTTAACCTCACCTGTCATCTGACGTAGAAACCGACCGGATATCCGGCTGAATCGGGGCTATTGAACATTTTATTTCGGGTAATTGACTAACATGCCGGGTCCTTCGATTTGAATTTCGGGGCAGAATAGGATGTCTCGTGATCGGATTTCAAGGTATAATAGCTGGTAGTGGTATAATAGCAGGTATATCGAATAAGGAAGTCGTACTACTACTACTACTACTATGTCGGAACTAAGTCCGATCTACGCCAGACAATCCCCTCCATATATCCCTGTCCCGCATCAGGGTTCGCAGTTCCTCTTTAGAGTTTGTCCCAACTTCCTTTAGTAACATAGACAAGTAGCTTTGTCTTGGTCGGCCTTTAGGAAGTCGTCAGACCACTAAAAGACTAAAATGACTACATTAAAATATCCAATATTTTAATTCTTTAACCACGTAGACTGTAAATTATTTGTGGTATCCCAATTTTTGGCTGTCGAGACATAAATGTAACATTTTTATTATTAAATAATCATATATAATAGTTTTCTGACACTTTAAGATTTCAGCTGATTAGGTTGGCAGCATTACTTTACAGCTCAGTTAATAAATTCAGTGTGCTAATTTATATAAATTTACATAAAAATACTACAAGATTTTTGCAATAAATACATACTATATCAGAACAAATAAAAATTCGGTAAGATAAGTCAGCAGCATTTTGACAGATATTACACATATCCCTTGAGAGAGGGTGCGAGGGAACGGAATCTTAGTAATGTAGAGCGAGGTATACTAACTACTAACTATGTACTAGTAGTTACTCTGTTGGCACGTGCCGTCATACTTTGTCATCTGTAAGGCCTCATCTCATTTCACACCAGGGGGTCCAGCTAATAATCATTAATTTAGAAAACTGAGGCCAGCACCCCCTGAGGCCTGCAGTTTGATTTTTGGATTAAAGAAAACTTCATGTAATAAGTTAGATTATACATCGTGGTGGCAGGTGAGGTAGATTGCAGTGCACATGATCTAGTCGCTCTTATTAATAATTCGTCTCACATCTTCTCTGTAATACTGTAATACTGCACTGTGCCGGCTCAGGTTCAACGTATATCTACTATTTTATAAGCTTGCCTGCTTCTGTAAAAGTGTTTTTTATTTTAGTTTTCTACCAAATTAAGTAGTTAGTTAATTGTAAAAGCTTCTATTCGAGGATCATTCTAGAATTTTACATCTTGAATTGAAACTCGGTGTAATAATTAACCTTGTAATTTATTCGATCGTGTAATGCACTGTTATATTATAGTATAGTACGCTGTTGAAAAATCCAACCTGAGAGTACCTAAAGGTTGCAAATCTAGAGAATTGTTCAGCTTAATCCTTTAATCGCGGTGTTTTTCCCCTCCAAATTTGCCGCACAATTTTAGGCAAGTGCGGGATCTCATTATTTGCAGGAATATAAGTTAGAATTATTTTTGTCAACTAAAAACAGACATGGTCGGCAGACATCAAACACAAACCTAGTCATTTCATTATAGTCATCACTCGTAATATCACGCTTGTGGCATGCTGTTAAACCACTCTACTTTCAAAGTTCAAACCAACACATATTTTCACTTAGTCTCAGTTGACTTCTTTGACCATATATATTGCCTTTGTAATGTTTTACACTAAAATCAAGCTATTTTAAAAATTCTTCACATACTTTCGTCTATAGTGGACACCCTGGTGAGATGGTAGATGGAGAAGCGGAGATGAACACTGGGGATGATCAGAACGATTCAACACACTCAACTCTAAAAGACAATGCTGACTCTTTGGAAAATACTCTCGGCGATTCTGAAGTGAGTAATTTTGTGTTAAAACAAATTTATCAACCTTCCCTGGTACTCTGGTAGTCACACTTCCATTTTCTTAATTTTCATGAAGAAAACCTGATCGAATGTAGTCCAACTAAAACTACAAATTTCCAAAATATCTGCTCAAAAAAAGCAAACACGCGACAATCCACTCCTTCCTAAGATTTAACACGTGACTCCTAAGAAATAACACGTGAGTCCAGACTCCAGATATATTACCAGTGCAGTGTAGCAAAACTTTAACATGACGACCTACTACCCCCCCACCAAGGTAGCTGTAGATGAGAGTAGGGCGGCAGTAAACAACACGCCTCATACTCAAGATAGCACGAGGCAGCGGAATGGAGTGAAGAAGGACAGGGGAGTGAAGAATAGTGGCACACTTCATAAGGGGTTAGAAATTAGGATAACTTGATTTTATGTAGTTTTTGTTGCTTGTGTTGAAGGAAGATATGATTTAACTTACATTATATTTTTAGAGTTTCTTAGGAATTCGGATATCTGGGAACGCAATATATTGTTATGTATGTACATGGTACCTTTTTTCGGTATACAGATCAATAATCTATGATCATGACTTTTATTTTATCTTTTTTCTATTAGTTATATCCTCAGAAAGGGTACTCAAGACTTGTTTGTCCCTTCTCTTCTGGAAATCGAAATGGGGTTTAAAGATGTACAACTAGGTAAGCCTTCATTGATCAACTACATATTACTTATTTGTAATCTGCCACTAAAAGGCAAGAGGCTGAGTCTGCCATAATTGTTTTAATTAAAACTAACAATTCACAACATTCTATGTATTATGTAATCATTATTATAGGAATTTCCCGTCCAATCCTATGATCATACAATAAGTTTTGCTCTGTTAATATTTCCAATTTCCGTAAACTGTAGCTTTGTTGTTACTGCTAGATATAGATTAGCTTCATTTATACTGTCTCGCACTAGTAATTAATTGCTGTATCAGTTTATTATAGAGTATGCTTATTGCTTATAGACCAATAGGAGCATGTTAACTTTGAGATAAATTTGTCCATACGAGTTTTTAATGGTTAATATAAAATGAGGCGCATAAATGAAAGAATAAAACTGAGGAAAGTTTTACATTATAATATTAAATGTAAGTTAAAGAATTATAAGAGCTAGACGAGTGTGAGTCTACAACATAGACCTGTCACCAACCATATATAACGTGCATAGTGAGCACACTAACCACCAACTTTACTTTACTTAACTTAATAAAACTTAGTTAACTTACTGCACTATATCGTGCACAGTGCACACTAACCACCAACTTACATAAGTTAAAATACAGATCTGAAAATACACCTCACCAGTGCAGCAGCCGCATGTGTAAGTGATGGTCGGCTCCAACGAAATGTCAGAAATGTCATTTTGTAAAGCCAAACTGACATGACGGTCACTGATGTAATTTTTAAGTATAAATAACTTTTCTCAACACCACGTCTGTACTGATCACCACTGAGATGATTTTGACCGTTTTTCACTGAGAGCTGTATTGTGCACTGCCATCCCACATAAATAGCTGTCACTCACTTTGTTTACTCTCACAGTTTAAAAGTTCAAAGAGATAAACCTATCAAAATATTCTGTGGAATAATAATATGCCAAAGCGAGCTTTGTAACAAGACCACTGGGGGCAGACTAGTGTCACGTGACACTGTGACAGTCACGTGACTTGGCAAACATGCAGCCTCAGATCAATGTCTCATTGACTCATCATCATATCATGCATTCTTTACTCAGCAAAAAATCCACCAATATGGATTATGCAGAGCTAAATATGTTTATGAATTTTTCTTCGCGTTGTTTAAATGCCACCTGATTATTCCACCGTGTCCTAGTAAGGATCTCGCGCTGTGAGAGAGCATGTTTTAAATATTTCTCGTTCACATTGTTTAAATTCTTGAGTTTAATGTTGTGGAATGCCTTCACGTGGAAAAGAGGTTAAATTTATGCCCTGTATAATGTCTCCTATAGTTCAGACTAAAGACAGCGAAACTCAAAATAATGAAACGCTAAAAGAGGCTGTTGGGGACGTGGAAAAGACAGTGAACGTCTCAAAAGAGACAGAGGGAATGATAACGGAGACAGGACGGGAGATGTCTGATAAAAGTGCACCAGAGCTTCTTATCAGGTTCCGTTTTGGTTTAATCCCTCTTTATTTTTTTAAATGAATATTAGATTTTGGTTTCTTCTGATTGATATTCTTGTTAGATTCACGTTATTGTTCCTGATAGGTTTGACATTTCTAAGACTGAATTTTCATGTTTTGTTTTAGCTTAGTTACCAATTTCTTTTATTCTTCCTCGGTTATACATTTCCACATTTTCTCATGAATAATTCACAATAACTACTGTAGTTAAAACAGCTCGATATGTTATGCTTACAAAATTAAATAAAATTGCTTAACAAATTTGTGGTTTATATTAGAGCAATTTACACTTGCATAACTGACAATTTACGAACCGTCGTACAACTTGCGATTTGGAAAAATCTCGTTTCACTTGTAACTATGTTACTTTGTTACTGATTACTGAATTGACGATTTACTCAGTAACTAAATTAAAAGTTGCTGAATTACCCAGTATCAGAGTGATCAAGTAACTCAATTTCACAGTACATTCTCTCTCAGCTTCACACAAAAGCAAGAGGACAAGATCAAGTGCTTACAGAGACAGCTCAACGAACTCAGAATCCGGCAGGACTCTCTCAGAATGAGTGCTGCTCTCGAACAGGTTACATTTCCTTGCAATTTCAGGGAGAAACAAAGATAGTTCAATCATAATATTAACATTTGTTTGTGTGAATCATAACTCACTTTGACCTTGTAAAACTCTTATATTAACCACTATCTCTCTCAACAGGCCGGTAAAGTACCAAGCCACCCCTCACTTGGTGAACCACGTGACACCACTAAGCCCCTCTGCCAGCACCCAACGGGGCACACTCTACCAACTCTACCTACAGAGCCCCCCATTGATACCCCCTCTGAACCCCCCTTCTCTCCCGTCACCCACAGTGCTGCTACTGACAGGGGCACCGGACCTGGTCTTACTAACGGTAAAATATCTTCTTTTCTCTGACGGTTTATTCGGATAAGTAATGAGTTTCTAAACAGACTGTCAACAGAAGAGAAGCTAACATATTCTCATGGATTTGCATGATAGATGATAATAGATTTGTTCCTTAAACAATGAGACTATACCGCTAAAAATAAACATAAGACAGCAAAATAGACAGTACCATATTGGCTCTGGTCTCCGGTTTAAGTTTGACCGCTAGCCGTCCGCTACAAAATGTTTTGCCCGTTGTGGTATTTGCAGATACTTAGTTTTTCTGTTGAGTCGTCACATTTTGTCAGTCAATCAGCACGCCTTTACGAGACTGTTTTTAAGATGTCAAAAATAAAAACCCTTACCCGAGCTGTAACCATCTGGTGTCTCTAGTTTTTCTAACCCACGTCGGCACGTCTGATCATTTAAACCATGACCATATATCTGAAAAATAGCCCAAGTTTTAGAAGTACCCACTAAATATTACGATTGACAGGAAAAATTCCATCAAGTAACGGATGGCTGGAACCGAACCATTCCTCTCTCAACACTCTGGAGAGCTTTAGTGAAGATAGTCTCCGTCCTTGTAAAACTAGCACCCCCAGCAAGGGTGTCAACCCTGTTGTTACCAACAAGGTTTGTACTGGTGGATTTATAATTCATTGTTTTAATTATTTTGTAATTAGGTTATTTACGAATTGGATAATTGCGTGGTAGTGGCTTGGAAATTTTTGTTTTATATTTGAGTAGTCGTTAAATCGTATTTTATTTCGATCCTATCTTAAAATAGTATAGACAGTTTTTGGGAGTTCCAAATAATTTCTGATTATTCTGATTTTTTGCGACAAATGATACTGCACTGTTAGGATAAACTTAAAATAGTATGATGGAAGACTCAAGTGTCGAACAGTATATTGAAAACTAAAACTAAAATGATACGTTTATGCTATTAGCCAATAGTACACGGAACACTGAACAGTGGTTAGAAGTTCACACACCGGTGGCACTAGTGGCACTAGTGGCACTAGTGGCACTAGTGGCACTAGTGGCACTAGTGGCACTAGTGGCATAACACAGTGCACACAACAAACTGTTTACCAGTAGTTTAACTCAATGTCTCGCTGGATTGCTTGTTATTCACATTTAAAACAAGTTTCACACAGTACGTTGTTCTGAATAGTGTTTGTGCGTTCTCGCAATCAAATTGTGCAGTCTGCCACATTATAAATATTACGGCATTGTTGGGATTGTATTTTTATACGTTACTTGTAGTTGTTTTGTTGCGAAAATTATGAACGAAATGGTTTATTCCAAGTTCGGTTGCTCACACGTTATGCATGGCTACAAGAATAAGAACCATAAAAAGAGGGCCAGGAAAGTAAGTTATGGCGAGGACTGAGGACTGAGGTTTAAAACTCAACTCTGATTTCAAGGATTTGATAAAGGTGCAAAATTAGAATTTTTATACATGGTACTACTACTAGTTTGAACTTGGAAGTTGAAAATTTGTGTGTGTGCAGGTTGCAGACTCGTCCATGTTGAAGATGAAGTTTGCTCCCACAGCTGTACTGGAAGATGTCCAACCTATAAGAAGTGCAGCTTTTCACCCCAGAGGTTTGACTGGAATAATTTACATTTTACATTACAGTTAATAACTATCTACAGTTTTAAAGTTGTCAGTAGGTAACCAGAAAACCAGGTAATTTTCAGGTATGTACAGGTATGTACATAGTTCATATCAACTTACCTTTCACATTCGATAATGGTCAACCACAATGTAATCTCTTTTTATAAATGACCCGAATTCATTTCAATTTAAAATCCGTCCAATCCTTATATAGTTCTATGAAGTCCCTCAGTAATAATTCCACATTCTACCGATATTTCTAAAATTAGCGAATGTATGTTGCTATCACCAGCAATCAGCTGTGGCTGCTTTATCAAGTGCACAACAATAACATGCTTGCTGCTCCGCTTATTTACTAAGTGAGGTGTGTGTGGTCAGTATGTTATTATCATAATATTCTCTATTTCGGGGTCCATTTCGAGGTTCACTTAGCTGTAAGGAAAAATACCTCACGTTCTAATGATTTTTAAATTTGAAGACCATTTGATTCCTCTTATTTGAAAATACAAGATTTATTATCTTGATTTAACGCTAGTGTATTTTTATTCAGGAGAGTTGATAGCTATTGGTTCGAACTCTAAAGCGCTGAGAGTATGTTCCTGTCACATGTTATCTGACTCAGTACAGACTCTAGTCAGTAAGTTTGTTAGTTTATTTGGGGAGGTGACAACCGTTTGTTATAGTTATATGGTGCGTAAAACGATAAATTACTCACCTTACAGCAGCAACCAGTCAAACATGCGAGTATTTTTCCCTAAATCTAGTTCGTGTCGCAACTGCACATATTCACTGACCCGATAACTTTGTTATTATACTAACCTGCATACCAGTCCACTGGTCGGGTATTGACTTATATATAAATCAAACAATATACACATAATATCACAATGACCCTATATAAAAATTCAATAAAAATTCAATAAAAATCTTAGTAAGTTTTATAAAAAACCCTTTCAGTAGTAAAAGTAGCCAATTCGATGTATTGGCTCTAAATTTATATCTAAGTCTTCTATTTTTACTGCACTATTACTTTTCAACCCTCCTTCTCCTCTAAGAGCTTAGTCATTATATGTACATAAAAAGTCGCTTTTCTTTTTAAATCGAATTGGATTTCGCCTTTAGGTCGCATGTTAAACCAAATCAGTCCTGAGTTTCATTACAAAATTAAAGATAATTACCCCTCATCAATTCAACGAGAACAATTTGGAGTTTAATAAATCAATTGTTGTGCACGTGACATAATGTTTTGACGTTAATGTACACAGATTCACTCAACTTTAACCGCTGCTAAACCACTGATTTAACGTTATTGTTAAACACCAACATGTATTCATAGATGTGCTTTTAGCTTTGGATTGACTTGATTAGACTTGATCTCTGAGATATCAATGATAATGGGGTCAAATAATTGCTGGGTGATTGTTTTGGGAATTCGTTGGAATCAATATGCATTGTGTAAAATAATTTGAATTGTTAATTTGAAAAGTTTTCTTCCCGGGAAGATATTAATTGGACCTAAACAAGAAATGCGGCCGCTTTTCTTTTGTGGATGGCCGCTCAATTTCCCGATCCGTGATGGCGTATTTATCATATTCCATACAACCTGGGGACGGCCCAGTCTTTACTGTTTATATAAACATGCAAATGTGGCGAAGTGACATGCCGACTGCCGAGCGCCGCCCAGTTAATATATAATTCTATATTGAATTTGAAAATCGTGTATACTTCTATGTAACCATATGTTTATTGTTTATGCAACCTGACACGGATCTGTGCAAAATAGTAATACCAACTCAAAATAATAATAATATGCTATTAATTAGTGCCTAGTGGGATACGTACATGATGAAATTAATAATGTACTTGGTTGGTTCAGCGCCGCGCGCCAACAATTATATAATTCAGATTGTCACGCAAAATAACTTTGCGCAGGTAGTCACGTGGGCGATAACAGTGCTCGCAGGCACGTTCGGTCGCACACACGGTCGCCCACACGGTCGCAAAGCTACCATATAAAAAAAAACCTCGATCGCTAACCCTTGTCCTTGACTCTTTTGTGCCTTCGGCACTTTGAGTCATGGATCGGGAAAAAATGTAACGCGCGAAGTGTATTATTGTGGCATGAATAAAGGTTGTTGTTCGTTACTGTAGCATTTATCAGCGCGCGCCGCCGGCGTGGGTAACGAATTATCAAAATAAGTTTTGAAAATAAAAGTTGCATTCAGTGCCATTAAATGCTCTAAAAATCGTCCGTGTGGTAAGATTCTGATTACAGGACAAAACAATTAAGCACAGAAGTATCGAATATCAGCGTGAATATTACAATACGAGTTATTAAACATCCTTAACTGATGATGTCCTTGAATGACCCATTCTAATTTGAGTATTGCATTTGGCTAAAGATTAATATAAGTTGTCTGGTAGAACAATAAAATTCTCAGTTGTGCTACCAGATTTCGTTCAAATTACTTAGCAATATAAACTTTGTCCGCACCTATATTAATACGTGATTACTCTATAACCTATTTATCTATCTTTATTGCCTATCTAATGTCGGAATGTCCACAACTGAGCCAGCAATACTTGTCGTATGCTATGTGGGACAATGGGACAGGGAAATGGATGAATTAATGATCACGATTCATGACAAAACTGGGAAAAAAGGACCTGCCCCAGTTGAGCGATGCGTTTTTGTAAATGTATTTAGTTGATAAACATTATAAACTAAGCATGGCCGTGTAGCTCAGTTGGTTAGAGCATCGTTCTAATAACGCGAATGTCCAGGGTTCGACCCCCTGCATGGCCAGCAGTGAAATTTTTTTGAAATCTTTTTCTGCAGTCTGTCTCGATATCCATCCCCGGATCCTCCATGAGGACTTTATATTTTCAATCATTCGAATTTAATTTTACTGGGAAACCTTTTTCATGCAGTATTTTTGGGCTTTGTCCATTCCATTTACTGATCACTCTTACTCAGGGGAGGACGGATGTCAGGATCTACCAGTATTGTTCAAGAGGAACAGACACCACCGGGGTTCTGTCTACACTGTAGCTTGGAATCCAACTGGCAACGTCTTAGCTACTGGTTAGTTAGATAGATATTCTATACATGAAAATAAACACCTCTGAAATCTCACAAAGACTGGTCACGTGCCACCTCGTCACGTGCCACCTCGTCACGTGCCACCTCGTCACGTGCCACCTCGTCACGTGTCACCTCGTCACGTGCCACCTCGTCACGACTCACGTGCCACCCCCAACTCATGCTCTGTCCACACAGGATCAAACGACAAGTCAGTGATAGTGGTAGGGTTTGACGCAGACAACTGTATCAGCAACTCAACAGACAGAGAGTTCTCTTTCCACAAGGGCACGGTGAGAGATATCCACTTCCACGATGATGCTACAATGTTGTCTGTTGGAGGGGGCGACAACTTACTACACTTGTCTGACGTTGAGAAAGGTTGGTCTTCTTCATGGGCTACATCACCGGGGGGGGGGGGGGGCAGCTGCCCCCCCTTGGATTTGGGGGACAAGTTTACAAAAACATGAAAATTTATTTTTCAACATAACATTAAACCAGACGGCTATGGTATACAGTTTTGTTTTCGCACCCACTGCTCTGTAGCCCCACTGCACGTAAATTCGTGTCCCTCAAGTACTGGAAAATGCGTCAAAATTGTCTAATTTCCTTAAAAATTTTCCGGGGGGCTTCGACCCCCTATCCCCCCGACAAGGGGCTCTGCCCCTTGACCCCACAGGGGGCTGCGCCCCCAGACCCCTGCTATTGGGGGGGCTTCGCCCCCCTACCCCCCCACCAGGGGCTTCGCCCCCTTGCCCCCCCTGGGTTGAAGACGTGATGTAGCCCCTGTTCTTGAGGGTGTAGTTATCGTAACAGTGTTCTCAGCTTTTATTGTTGCCAAGGTAATGGATTGTTACACTTAATGTTGCCATGGTAATATAGTTTAATTGTTGCCATGGCAACATACTATCAATGTCTATGTTGCCATGTTACCATACTGTCACGTGTTGCCATGGTAACAATGTTCTGAGTTTGGTTGTTAACTCTCTTACACTAATGATCGTGATTGCAGGAGTGGAGGTATTTGCGTACAGCGGCCACACAGGCACCATACACACAGTAACATCACATAGAGACACCCTCATCAGCGGTAGTGAGGATGGAACTATCCGACTCTGGGACCGGAGGAGTAATTCCTGTACCCGGGTTATTGGTGCTGCCCTCGGCACGCAGGGTAATTTATTCATTATTATTCTTAGTTTCAGGTTATATTGCCTGGGTAAAAATGCGACGGATCAAAGTCAATTATAATGCGTCAATCCCAACTAAAGGTAATTCGAAACATGACTTGCGAAGTATTTAAATAACCTCTCTCAGGAAAGTCTGGCATCTCGTCGTTATCTCTGAACAACTTTGGTAACCTGCTATGTGGGTCACGTGATGACGGGTTGTGTATGTTGTACGATTTAGAGATGGGTAAACTCCTGGCTGCTTTCTCACCCCATACTCCTGTTACTTGTAAAAGCGTGCAGTTTTACAGGAACCCCCGGTAAGAATAACTGTACTGTGTACTGTGTACTCTGTACTCTGTACTCTGTACTCTGTACTCTGTACTCTGTACTCTGTACTCTGTACTCTGTACTATGTACTATGTACTCTGTACTGTATATTGTGTACTGTGTACTATGTACTGTGTACTGTGTACTGTGTACTGTGTACTGTGTACTGTGTACTGTGTACTGTGTACTGTGTACTCTGTACTCTGTACTCTGTACTCTGTACTCTGTACTCTGTACTCTACTCTGTACTCTGTACTTTGCATTATACTATTTATTGCCACTAAATATTTATTAATCTTCTACAAAAAATACACATTTAGGTTTTAAGCTAAATTTTACCACCCTTCAGCTACATCTTGAGTGGATCTTATGACGGTACAATAGCCCTAACTTGTGCAGAACAAGTGCTTCTCAACCCAGAAATTAATTGCACGGAAATTTTAGGTTGGTATTTCACTTTTCTTAAATCTGTTTTTATATTCATGTCACATGTGGTTGGTAGTTTTCCCCTTGTCAAATATTTACCATTAAATTTTGTATCAAATGGTTGATCGTATATCGATATACGGCCGATAGACATTTTTCCATTAACCAACAATAACATGCTCTCGGACAAAAATGTATCACCGGTAAAACATTCTCAAGCAACTATAACAGATATCTCCACCATCGCTATCTTTCAGGCACACATCGTGATAAAGTTACACGAGTCACCTGGCATCCGACCAAACAAGCCTTCGCCACGTGCAGTGCAGACAGAACTGTTTGTCTTTGGACTGCCAGAGATGGCGTCGACGACTAAATCATGAGATGTTTTCTTTTTCGTTTTAAGTGACGGGACTGTTGGTATGGTTATGAAAAGTACGATTTGCGTGCTTTTGAGGACGACTTTAGTTTTGATTTGATCCAGAATATCTGATATTATATTTTTTACGTAACGGCATGAATCAGAAATATAAAAAGTCAAAGTATTCGTCTTCCTGTCTTTATTTATTAATAGATTATACAGTGTATACAGTAGTACGATGATGGTTTTTGTCAATGACATGATAGCATAGATTATCCTTTTCTTCCTTATCTACATTTTTGATTTTGAAATTTGAGTGTTCCCAGTATTAATTTCTTTATCAACCGTGTCTTGAACCGACAATGTATCGCTATAACTCTTTCAGTTATTTTCATAGCTTTTGGCGTATTTACGTAGTTTGACTTCAGTTACAAGGCATATGCTCTACCAATTGGAATTGTCAGCTGTCGACGAAAACTTGGAAGAAGTTATAATCATAAACAATTGTTTAGTGATTGATTAAATTAATGATTTTTGTACGTTTCCATAAACTTTCTTAACTTTAAGTTTAACCTAATCGTGTGGTAGAGAACATGTGACATAGTGGCAGCATGTTGCAATGATCTAACTGCAAATTGTTTTTTCATTACATAAGGAGTATAAATAAGTTTTAGAGCTTTGTGTGTTTTGTGTGTTTTGTAAGTTATCACTTTTCCGAACGCTTCACTAAAATACGCTTCTCTAGAAGTAGAACAGCTCATTATTACTTTCTATGGGATGATTCACATATTACCAAACTAGGAAGAAAAACTACTGTAATTTCTATTGTTTACACAGTAACCTATGTGATGATCCTTTCCTAGTCTTTATTTGTAGGTTTACAACCTACCAGGACGCGCGCCGAGTTGGACTCGTCGACGGTCCAATATATGGAACAGATATTTTACGAGTATCACCCGTTAAGTCTTTATCATATCTGATTTTACGTGATTCAAATTTTTCAAGATACAAATATTATCAGATCAATTTACACTCGTGATTACTTCTTTTCTTTTTACAAGTTAGAGTAGAGAAACAAGTAAAGAAACTTAACCGCCGGGTCAGCGCGCCCGCAACGGCGCGAAAGCACAAGCTAAGATGAACCTAGGCTATAATTTTCATAAACATAAAGATTTGGCGGAATGATAGCTGAGCGCCGCCCGGCCGCCCAGTAAATGGTAAAAGGGCTTTTACTACTTAGAGCAAACTTTGACCATTTTAATATAACGTGTGATACTGAAAGATTTACACTACAATTGACAATACTTTTACTTATTTACACTACAATACTTTGTATATTGTACTTTAACTTAAGTTGCGAAGTTCGTACAACATTGAGCTAGATAGTGCGCCATCGACAGTGAGCCGCGCGTGCCGACTGTAGTAGGATGGTTTTTTAGCGCTAATTTCGGCCAGTACAGCACAAAATTCTTGAAACAAATGCGACGCATTTGAAATGCGTATTAAGTAACTTTTACTTGATCCAATTTTAACAAAAATTAGTTAGCTTAGCTTACTCATAGACTTCACATGGCCATGTGTATACGCAATACGTGTACTGCGTGACGCGCTTGTTTCACAAGTAGAATATATTTGTATCACGTTGCGACCCCCACGGTCGTTTCACTGTGGTCCTGACGCGACGATACAGGGGAGCCGCGCACTTCGTGCGCGGCGGGTCATACAACGTATGACAAGAATGTATTTTTTGCGCTGATTCCGAATCACCCCTCATGACGTGAAGTAAAATACTTTCCTGGAGAGTTATCAGTTATGGGAAAACTATTTTGGTCACGTGAAATACAGGCTAGTAAAACATTAACGGGTGATATTCGTAAAATGTCTGTTCCATCGACGAGTCCAACTCGGCGCTCGTCCTGGTAGGTTGTAAACCTACATGTAAAACACGAATTCGATTGTAATTAGATGTTAGAGTTAGGGTTGTGGTCGGGGTTATGGTTAGGGTTAGGATTGGGATTAGAGTATATGTAAAACCGTTTTGTTCCGCTGTAAAACCATAAAAACAAAAGTGAAGTGATAATTTTTGGGCGAGCGATTTAGTAAAAGCCAAAGGTTAACGGGTGATACTCGTAAAATATTTGTTTTAAATTCGCTGAAAAATAGTTTTCCCTGAAAATCGCTGAACCTCAGCGACCCAAACGGGTGTTAGTATTATCAGACAGTAAAAACTCTTCTTTCGACTGTTCCAAGTTTAAAGCGCCCGTAGTTGCCTTCCGCGAAAATCTCTTCCTGCTGCGCGATCTCGAGGAACACAAAGAATCTATCAAATCCTCGGACATAGTTCTTATTAGTGCTGGGGTAAACGACATGAGGAAAAATGGTGTGAACGCCCGAATTTTGCATGATCATGTCAGAAACTTTGTCGCACAGTATCCGAAAACCCAGTTTCTATTTGATTCCGTTACAAACGTGACCATGAATGCAGACCCGTACAATGTACTGAACCCGAACATTAACTTCTTCAATCAGCTTATGTTTAAATGCTCCCTTCGTCATGCCAACATACATCTGTTTGATAACTTATCGTTCGGATGGGGTCATCTAGCACGTGACGGCCTACACTTTAACTACAGCGGACAGAAAGTCACGTCTGATACCTGGGTCCATGTTGTATTAGTCTGCCTTGGACTTAGACGTGGCCCTTTACCACTACGTTATGACTTTGTGAAATTGCATGAAGAGTCTCAGTCCTGGAAATGAACGATAACTCCATTTAACAGAATAGTAAAGTTTCAAACTAGAGATCAAAGTATAAATCGTATGTGATCAAATATTTATTTAAGTCTTTAGAAATGCACTGAACACAAGAAACAAAATCAATTTCCAACAAAATAATACTTACTACAAACTTTATGCTCGGCCTTGTAACTTGATGCAAGAGTAGTGAATTTAATGTCTAATCTTTTTAGAGAGATAACGCCGATGATAAGGCGACTTACATTAAAAAGTAATTAGTACACGTAATTTGCCACACGCGATTCCGGTGCCATGTACTCGGCACTGAAATACATTGTACACACACTGCACTATGCAGATACACTGACAGACACACTGACTAGTGACTTACAACAACACAAGCTAGCTGTTGCCAAGTGCAACATAAAATGTCTGAATCTCTACGGTTGCTAGGTAACCAAAAAGTATTGTAAACACAGTTTTTCGTTTTTCAATTTTTCATTTTTGACGATAATCTCTCACACAGAACTGAAAGTTCTCGTTAGATTTATCAAATTAATTTTCTTATTTTTCTTACTTCTTCCTCTGTTTTCTCCTCCTCATTTTTCTTTCTCTCGGTATATCTATATAGACCGCAGGTATAAATACTTATCGGTGAATCTCGGTAATTGTAATCTTTAAATGTCAAGCTTACCTAAAGCGAAAGTTTGTGATAAATGTAACAAACGTATTCCAAAAAACACGCCTCTGCTTACTTGCTCACTTTGCAACGACACCAAGCATCCTAAATGTATGAGACTCTCGAAATCTGATTCCCTGCACATAATATCTTCAGGCTTTTCTTGGACCTGTTACGATTGTTTAGCTAGTGCCCTCCCTATCAATGCGTGCCATTCACCAGTCGAGAAGCCTGCATTCGGGCCTGTATTCAAAGTTAAATGCAATTCCTGTGCAGGATGGTGCTATTCACCAAAAAACCTAAGATATTGTAACTGGTGTGGAAAAAGTATACATTCCAAGTGTATGAAACACGAGTTAGGTTGTAAAACATGTTGTGAATCTATGATTCCTGGTTTCAACTACGAACCACACCATCTACTTGATGATTACAGCCACCTACATGACTTATTTTTTAATCCATATGATAGAGAAAACATTGCAAATGAAATAGGTAATCAACTTGATGATGAACAGGACAGGGAGTACTTTGATGAAATTTCAAATATACTGGTAGAATGTAGATATAAGGAACAGAAGCACGTACAGAACTCAGGAGCAAACGAGCTGAAATTATTTTCACTGAATATTCGATCGCTGATCAAGAATATTGAACACCTGCGAGAAAACATAGAAACATACTGCAAGTACGATGTCCTATGTCTGAATGAAACCAATCTCATTGAATCCAATTTGCCCAATGGCGTAACTGATATTTTACTCGAGGGTTTCCATGAACCTCTACTTAAGGGCCCAAACAGAACTTCGGGTCGGGGTGGTGGTCTTGCAATTTATATCAGTAAGCGAGTGTGTGAGTTTGAGAATATTGAACAATTTATTCCTAATCTCCGGGACGTAGATGAGATCACCAAATCGGCAGGTGAATTCATGTTAGTGAAAATTAACAACTGTAAAGGACTCAACAAAACCAAACTAATTGTTGACGTTTATAGGTCTCCATCACGTGACCCCGATAAGTTCATAGCTTTACTTGATTCGGTACTATTAAGCCTAGACCGTCACAACAGAAAACACATAATGTTTGCTGGAGATTTTAATTTAGACCTCATAAACCACAGCAACAATGTACATTGCCAAAATCTAGTGGACACCATGTCGAAATACGGTTTTTTTCAGCTTGTTGCACGACCAACACGAGTTACAAGTCACAGCAGGACCTTAATTGATCATGTCTACAGCAACGATGTTCAGCATACTCTCAGTTGCAATGTCCTGACAGTTGACATTTCAGACCATTTTGCCACCTTGACTACGATCTCTCTTGGTGATTTCTCTTACAGTCCTGCTACTGATCGATCCAAAACCGAACGATCACAAAAGCGTGATACACGTGCATTCAATGCCGCTAATAACTTAAAATTTTACGAACTGATCGACGCTGAAAATTGGGAGCAAATAACATCAAACATGGATGCTAATGAGCAGTATGATAAGTTCAACGAAATTTACAACAAGCACTATAACACCGCGTACCCAATCAAATCTAAGCATGTCAGAAGGATGAATGAAAGGAAAAACCCCAAGCCTTTTATTCTGCCGTGGCTTGAAGACGCGTGTGCTCGAAAAAACTTGATGTATTTTGAATCCACAGTTTGCCCCACACAGAAAAATGTTGCTACGTACAAAAAATTAAAAAAATTTTGTGAAAAACATATCAATCTAGCAAGGGACAAATACCACAAAAAATACTTTGAAGAATATCAGTACAATTCCAAGAAACAGTGGGAGATGATAAATAAACTTCTAGGCAGGAAAGCTAAGCAAAATTCCAAATTCAAATTGCGGAGAGATGATGGAAACTTGATAAATTCGAACCGCGATGTTGCTGAACATTTTAACACGTACTTTGCTAATATAGCAACTAGAATCAAAGAGCAGATCAGTGCGCGTACCACTTTCGACCCTGGCGGGCATGCAAGATATTTAGACAGCCAGGTTGAGGAGAGCATGTTCATCTCGCCCACTGATCCTGTCGAAATCCAACGAACAATCTGTACCTTGAAAAATAAGGCCACACAGGATGTAAAAGTTGAGCCGCTCAAGATTGCCAAGGATTGTCTTTAGTTTTGTGAAATACTCTCAAATGTAGTAAATTCTTCCTTCAATGAAGGCTGCTTTCCGACATCACTGAAAATTGCAAAGGTAGTTCCTATCCTTAAGGGAGGCTCAAAACTAGATGTGAAAAACTACAGACCAATATCATTGCTCTGCACCTTTTCAAAAATCTATGAGAAACTCATGCACAGAAGAGTCCTTGACTTCCTAGAGCGACATAGCACTTTATTTGAAGGACAATACGGTTTTCGGCCGGGTCGGTCGTGTGAACATGCGCTCCTCGATGCTACCAACACGATTAGACACAACCTCTCCAAAAAAGAGGTCTCTCTTCTCCTCCT